GATAGAGCAAATTACTGCATGGCTGAGGAGCTGGTGCAGGGGAGAAGGATTCACATTTTTGGATCTTTGGAATGTCTTCTGGGCAGAAGTGACCTTCATAAGAAGGATGGATTGCAGCTGAATTGGAAGAGAACTAATACACTTGTGGGGAGATTTGCTAGAGCTGTTCGGCAGGATTTAAACTAGTAAGGGAGGGATAGGACCTAGGGAGATAGTGAGGAAGAGATCCATCTGAGACTTGTAAAGTTGGAAAAAGGGGTAAGTCAAATGGTCAGGGAAGGCAGGAACAAAGCACAGAACGAGGTAGGACTGATACATTAAACTGCATTTATTTCAATGCAAGAGGCCTAACGGGTAAGGCAGATGAACTCAGGGCAAGTTGGGAACTTGGGACTGGGAAGTCATAGCAATTACAGAGATGTGGCTCAGGAATGGACAGGACTGGCAGCTAAATGTTCTAGAGCATAGATGCTTACAGGAATGATAGAAAGGGGGGCAAGAGAGGAGGGTGAGTGGTATTTTTGATTAGGGATAACATTTAGGGAGGATATTCCTTGGAATATGTCCAGGGTAGTTATTTGGGTAGAACTAAGAAATAAAAAATAAGAAAGTGATGATCACCTCATTGGGATTTTACTATAGAAACCCTAAAAGTCAGCAGGAAATTGAGAAACAAATTTGTAAGGAGATCTCAGTTATCTGTAAGAAAAGTAGGGTGGTGACAGTAGCAGATTTTAACTTTCCAGACATAGACTGGGACTGCTATTGTGTTAAGGGCTTATGTGGATGTATCTACTAGAGAAAGTACAAAGCTTGGGAAATAGGTAGTGCAGCTTACTTAGGTGTCAGTAGGGGAGCGCTTTGGGACAAGCAACCATAATACTACTGGTTTTAAAATAGTGATGGAAGAGGATAGGCCGGATCTAAAAGTTAAAGTTCTAACTTGCAGGAAGGCTAATTTTGACGATATTAGGCAAGAACTTTCAAAACAAAAACAAAGTTGCTGGAAAAGCTGATCAGGTCTGGCAGCATCTGTGAAGGAAAAATCAGAGTTAACGTTTCAGGTCTGGTGACCCTTCCTCAGAACACCGGACCCAAAACGTTAACTCTGTTTTTTCCTTCACAGATGCTGCCAGACCTGCTGAGCTTTTCTAGCAACTTTGTTTTTGTTCATGATTTACAGTATCTGCAGTTCCTTTGTTTTTTTTTAAGAACTTTCAAAAGTTGATTGGGTTGGATTATCGCAGGTAAAGGGATGGCTGGAAAATGGAAAGCCTTCAAAAATGAGATAACGAGAGTCTAGAGACAGTATGTTCCTGTCAGTGTGAAGGGCAAGGCTCTTAGGTGTACGGAATGCTAGATGGCTAGAGAAATTGAGGTTTTAGTCAGTAATAAGAAGGAAGCACATGTCAGGTATAGACAGCAGAGAGCGAATGAATCCCTAGAAGGGTACAAAGGCAGTAGAGCTATACTTAAAAGGGAAATCAGGAGGGCAAAAAGGGGACAAATTTGACAAATAGGGTTAAGGAGAATTCAAAGGGATTCTACAAGTACATTAAGGACAAAAGGGTAACTAGGGGGAGAAAAGGGCCCATTAAAATCTGCAAAGCCACCTATATGTGGAGCCACAGGAGATGGGGGAGATAATAAATGAGGATTTTGCATCAGTGTTTACTGTGGAGAAGGCACATGTATGGAATGAGCATCCAGAAGCGGTGGAGACTAGACTAATGACAACATTTAAAAGGCATCTGGATGCGTATACGAAAAGGAAGGGTTTAGAGAGATACGGGCAAAATACTGACAAATGGGACTAGATTTATCTTGGATATCTGGTCAGTATGGACGAGTTGGACCTAAGGGTCTGTTTCTATGCTGCATATCCCTATGGCTCTAAGTGACAGCTATGAATGGATTATGATGTGCAGGCGGAAATTGGTGACCTTGGTGTTGGAGTGGATGTGGGGTTCAAAATTCAGTTCAGGGTCCAGCAAAGTCTAAAAGCTCCAAGTCCTAAACAGCAGTAGTACCTGGTTTGACGGAGCTCCAGCTTGCAGCTATGGGCCTAGTTCCTCCCAAAGTCAATTTTCTGTTGGCTGGACAAAGAGGATTGGGATGTAGCTAGAAACTATTTGCCAACAGAGGACAGACCATTACACCCAGGCTCATACAGCACAAAACCAGGGCTTGGGCTTCTTTTCTCATCAAAGATAGCCATGAAAGAAATCAGCAGATATTGATGGGTAAAGGTACCAATGATCAAGATGGAGGGCACCAGATAAGCTGGAAGTACCTCTGATCTTTGAGGAGTTATATTTCTTCTTCCCTTTCTGTTACTATCCTTCCATCCTGTCAAGAGCTTCTCTTCTCCTCCCTCAGCCCTTTCACTCGTCATGCCTCTCTATTTCCTTTCTCTTTCCCCTTGTTCCTCTTGCTCTTCTCTTTTCTTCCACATTCTCTACACCACCCCACACATGACTGTACATTAAAAATACGCTATGCTTTGTAAAAAAATTCAGCATCATTGCTAATATTTTTAGAAACATGTTTCATTTAGGTCGCTCCTTTCCCAACCACTGGCTGTCCCACAGCACTTTACAGTCAACAAAACACTTCTGAAGTACAGTCACTGTTGTAATTTCGGAACCTCAGAAACTAATTTGTGCACAGCAATCTCCAACAGGCAGCAGTATAGCACTGACCAGATAATCTCCTTCAGTCAACTGAGGGTTAAGTATTGACCAAGACACCAAGGATAACTCCTCCTTGGAAATTTTTACATCCACCTGTAAAGGAGATTAATATTTCATCTGAAAGTTAGCGCCACTCCTTTAGCACTGCACTGGAGTGCAAAACTTGATGTTTGTGCTCAAATCCTGGAATTGATTGAAAGCAAAACCTTTGATTTAGATCACAGTGCTACCATTGGAGCACATTTGACATTTTTTAATTGACAGCACTGAAATGTTCAGCATTTATACATCTCTGTAAGTCCAAAGTTTGCAGCTCTTCTGTCTTCAGCCCTGACGCTCATCTTTACACATCAATTCTTTTCTATACTCCTTTATTGAAGTTACAAGGCAGTTGAAGAATTGTCTTGTTGGTCTGTTGCTGGAGTCGACTGAATCAGCCAATTATAAATGCAAGACCCAGAAGATCAGTGGACAGGGTGTCTATATAGAATGCCTACAGTGTGGGAGCAGGCTGTTCAGCCCATCAACTTTATACTGATCGTCTGAAGAGCATCCCACCGAGACCCAATGCCCACTAGCCTATCCCCATAACCCTGCAGTCCTCATGGCCAATCCACCTAACCTCCACATCTTTGGTCTGTGGGAGGAAACTCATGCAGACATAGAGAGAATGTGCAAACTCCACACAAACAGACACCCGAGGCTGTAAATGAACCCAAGTCCCTGGCACTGTGAGGCAGCAGTGTTAACAAATGAGCCATCATGCTGGACTGTGCTTGTTTACATTTGGTATGCTGCACAAACCCCAGAAGACACTGAATCAACAGAAGCTTTCTGCACCCATAATGTACTAAATATGAGCTGTTGTTTGGAATATTAATTTCTTTGTTCATTTTTTGGAGTTTTAATTTGTGTAAGTCTCTTTTATTGATACTTCCAATAAATCTCACAATATAACAGTGCAAGTCAGTATATCCTCCCCTTTTTAAAGAAGCTATCAGAAGTACACTTTTGCAGGTAAATGATGGCTAAGAACTTGTTCTTCTTTGGTAATCTTTCTTTTCAGGCAGTGCAAGGTTTCGGTTTACCATTCACCTAATCTGCTGGACCCATATGTGGACAAGGACAAAAATAGACTTGTTTCAGTTGAACCTTTTTGACAGCTGCCAACAGCCTCCCTTAATAAGACAGGGCAGATATGCAAAGATTGGTTGAGAAAAAGATGGAGTTCAATTCTTCTGCTTCTGTTGTTCAACTATAGACTGTTGACATTTTTTTGCTGGCTGCCCAGGTAAATAGCCACTTGGGCAAGTCTCCAGAGAGCTGTTTGTGTCTGTGTTACCATACGACCTAGCATGGGGCTCAATACATTAAAGGGGGGAAAAAGATAATTTCCTTTCCTTATCTCCACCCTATCAAACTACAAAATTGAATGCACTAATTTTCCTACTTTCCCTTCATCTGAAGATTCCTTACTGAGGCTTGGGCACACACACTTACACACGCGCATGCACACACACACCCGCACACATGCACACACACGTGCACACATACACACGCACACACACACACCCCCGCACACATGCACACACACACACGCACACACATGCACACAAACACAAAAACACACACACACACTCTAGAATCTTACCCAAGAGCTACCCATTCATTAACGAAGCATGTCCATCACACATCATTCCCCCAGCAGGGTTTGTAGGGGAGGATATCACAAAGAAATTTTGATTTTTTTCATTTCATATTCACTCTGAGCAGGAGTTTCTGGAAAGCAATAAGGCGCAAGAACTTTGATTCTCCCACACTTAGCCAAGACCAAATACAATGTCCTCCCTACCGCATGTGCTCAGGTTGACTGTCTAAGAGCACAACAAGGATTCAGCTTGTAACCTTACTCCTCTATACAACATCACTTGCTCATTGGATAAATTCACCGGATCATTTGCAAGGAGATAAGAAAACAAATCCAGTGAAGTTTCCTTCAGCCTCTTTTGATTTCTGCTCTAACTCAGCCCAACTCAAGACCAGTGGGGTGATGTGGAATCAGCAGCTCTTGGATTCTCTATGCACAGAGAATAAAAGCATTATCAGGTCACTTTACTCTAAAAGACATCACCTTCAAACTGTTGTCACTGGACAGGAGCCAGGAGTGGAAACCAGATTCATTGTCACCCTTACCATCAGTCACTAAATCAGGAATACAACCATTCATAGCAAAGCCTCGTCTCTGTCCACTTGAGGTAATCAGTTGATTCAAGATTGACCAGAGATGAGATAAATGTTTTCAAAACATTTAGCTTCCTCCTTTAATTATCAGATTTTTAGCCTCTTAATTCCATTCAAAAACCACAGATCAGCCCATGTCCCACAAGCGAATAAAAAAAACTTAAAACGTATTACTCAGCATGATGTAAAAGAGAAAAGCAAAAATTTGAAAACATCAGTTACTTCCACAAGGTATTTATATTTGGGTACACATTAAAACAACAACATGACGAAAAAGGAGCTGAAAATTACATTTAAAAAAATAAAGTGCATAAATAAAAATTTGGAAAATTAAATACAATTACAAGAAGACCATGTCTGTCTGAAAATTATTGCTTCGGTACGCAAAGACTGTACAATCTCAATTTTGTAACTCTATTCATAAAACATTAACAGATAGATAATTAGCAAATATTAATCCAGTGTTGAGATTAACCTCCTGTGTTTTTTGCTTTATGTCCAAAGTCTACTGTGTTCACTGTACTCTGCCAGAGAAAGAGAGCACAATGTCAACAAGAAGTTATCCTTTTTGGCGATGTATATGTGTGTGTGTATATAATGAGTGTGTGTGGTGTAACAGCGAGTGAGAAAGGAATAATATTTATCAAAATGTTTTCATTTTCAAGATTGCATTCTCTGGTGACATGTCACTGCTTTGAACAAAGAAGAATCCAAGCCCTTTTTGAAATTTTGCTTGAGTTCATTTTCTTTGTTCTTCTTTCTGACTCCAACTGCAGGCACTTTTGTACGAGGTCTATGTCACCTGTTTGATCGCCTGGATCCACTCTGACCTCTCAGCACGGGAACCAGCTTGAATGTAATAATGCACATCATCTGTGGTTATAATCTTGAAGAGATTACCCTGAACATTTCCCTTTATTCCTGAAAGATCAAATAATCAGAAAGATAAACATTTATGCTTACTACATCAAAACAAAAGCAGCTTTTCTTCCTCAAGACAGTAAAAATCCTTTAGCAAATCTTTTGAGCCAAATCTTTATAGGTCCCCAATGCAAGCCATAGCTTTGAAGAGACCTAGAAATCTTTAAACAGGAACATCATGACTTTAGAGATACTTGGAAAGGATAACACAACAGTGATTCCTTTTCATTGCCTTTCAAAGATGAACTTGCTGTTGGAGAAGACAAAAGATAACCTCCCGTTTTCAAACTCATTGTGTAATGCTGCACATTGCTACATCTTACTTATGTTGTCAGAGTTGAAATCTCACTTAACACTAACTTGGTGAACAGCTGCTTCTCCAACAGGTAAGAGAATTGCTGGCATAGTCTTTACATCTGAGCTTCCAAAACTGGGGGCTGGGACTCTACGTGAGGGCATTCCCTTCCTTTTTGCTTTCATAGGTCGCTTCTCCTAACTCTCCCAGCTCTCAGTTTTCACCAAGGGGTAGAAAATTTGGGAGGCACTTCTTTAAATACAAAAATGAAGAGTTTTTATATTCCTTAAATATATTCCAATCAAACCCATAGGTTGTGCATTTTGCAAACATACTCCTGATTAAGTATATCAAGCAGTGGAAAACCAACTTAATTTCTGATTAATGATTGTTGCCATGCTTGTCTTTAGAACTAAACGTTTCATAAATGTCTGATTTACAAATCGTTCTGAAAATGTGGGCGATATGAGCAAGTCTGTATTTACTGTCCTCCTAAAAAAGATAATAGTGAAGTGGTCATTGTTCTTCATTAGTAACTGCATTGATAACTGAGCAACTTACTAGGACATTACAAAGGCAATTAAGAGTCAACCAGGTTGTGGGAGCCTGAGCCAGTTCTGCAGGAATTACAGGATTTCCTCCCTAGAAAAAAAGTTGTTTTTCATGATAAAAAAGGTGATTATTTTGTTCTATTTCTGACGGTAGCTCACAAATTACAAGGTTCATAGTAGTTGATTTGGACCTCATCTTTTGTTGCAAACTCATGAATGACTGATCATAACGTTACTGTAATTTTTCACACAATTTAATTTTTAGAATGAAATAATCCATCTGTTTGACCTGTTTCTAATAATGAAAAAACCAAGTCTCACCTGGTGGGATTCCATTGTCCTCCAAAGCAGACACCAAGCAGCCACGAAGTGAAAATCCACCAACCAGCTGATCGTTTCTTTCCTGATGATGTAAGACAGTTACTTCAGGTCAGTTGAGAAAAATTTCCCACTATTTACTCAAAGTTACTGTATGGGATTGTTAAAAGCACCAGAACACCCCCATTAACTGCAAGTTACAGTCAAATCTCTATATCCAATATTCCAGATTTTTATCTTTCTGTAGGACACATTCACAATCATATCTGCATAGAGAAACTGGATTTTATAGGGAAGCAAGAGTATACTGCTGCCCACCGTCTCTCTCTAGCTGCTTGACATGATCACAGAGTCAAGCAAAACATCCGGAACATAGGTAGCTTAGTAGCTGCAGCAGATAGCTTGTTCATGATGTTTCTCACCATTGTGGCAGGTCATACTGCATTATCATTGTGCTGTATCTACCAGGAGTACTAAAAGCTTGTAGGTCTCTCCTTCAAGCCACCATGGACTTTATTTCAAACTTCCAATCTCTGTTCCTCCAGTGAGGTAGAAGTTGAAAAGAGTTTATCAACAGAAGGGTGGATAAGATTTGATGTCAGAGGCTGTGGATTCACAGAGGACTTTTGTTTGGAGATCTGCATTCTTTTTACTAAAGAGGCATTAGCTGGTAAAGAAGATGAAAATTCAGCTTTGAACCCCCAAAAGACAGCAACTCCAATAGTGCTGCTCCTCCTTGGGCACTAAACAGGAGTGTCAGCCTAGACTGCGTTTAAGTCACTGCATAAGACCATAAAAATAGGAACAGGAGTAGGCTATTTGGTCCCTCAAGCCTGCCCCACGACTCAATAGGATTATGGCTGAGTGGCATTCTTTACATCTATTTTCCTGCCCTTGATTCCCCTACTGTACAAGAACCTATCTATCTCAGTCTTAAATATACACAAGGATGCTACTCCCTCAGCAGCAAGGAGTTCCAAACACTCTCAACCCTCTGAGGGAGAAATTCCTCTTCATCTCTGTTATAAATTTGCACCCCTTTATTTTGAGACTACAGCAGGTTTCAAACCTACAACCCTCTGACTCAAAGGCAAGAGTATTACCCAATGAGCCACAACTGAGAGATAGTTTTGAACATTACACATATAATGTGAATGTGGGTAGATCAGCATAAAGAGCAAAATACTAGTATGAAGTGTCATTGTTTGCCTTTCTAAACAGCTATCAACCCACGTCCTCTGCTTGCTGTCATATAGACTCTAAATTAGTAATAAAAGAATTAGAACATTTAACAAAACATGCTGGAAATACACAGCTGGTCTGGCTGGCAGCATCTATATAGAGAGAAATAGAGTTAACACTTCAGATTGATGATCAAATTTCTAATGAAAATTGTTGATCTGACATATTAAATGAATTTTGTTTCTCTCTCCACAGATGCTGCCTGAACTGCTGAATATTTCCAGCATATTTTTGTTTTTATTCCAGATTTTTGCAGTGTTTTGCTGTTGTGCCAGAGCATTAACACTTGGCTGGGTTTGGATGTAAGGGGTGGGGAGGGGATGCAGGGAGAGGAACGCAGCCAAATTATGGGGAGGCATTCAAAGTGAGTAAGTCACGCCTTAAGTGGCATGATAGGGGCAGCTGGAGCCGCACAGAAAATGCAAGTTAATAAAGCATGACAGTAACCTTGCAGGGATCGTAGTAATGTAGGTGTGAAGGGTCTGCCCTCAAAACAAATCTTCTCACTTTCCAATTCTTCCTTTTGTGTCCCTAAATGAGAAGAGAAATGCATAATATTTAGGGTTCTGCAAACGAAAATAGAGATAATATAATTTTCCATAACATCATAACTGGTAGAGTCAAGTTATACAGCAGCTCTTTGAATGTACTGAGATATAACACGATTTGGCCTGGCAGCACCATTAGCCTTTCTATGCTTAAAGTAACATACTGGACTTCACCAGCTCCCTGCAAAAATTCAGTTTTCACAACAACTGGAAACAGATACAATGCACATTTAAATTCAAAGCTGAACTTGATCACATTTGAAACAGCTTTGTGGATATTTAATTGTACTAGAGATTCCACAATAGAATTAATGTCTGATGATGGAGGAGCAAGTACATACACTCACTTAGCAAACCAACTAGTGCAATAAGTGCAAATGCAAACACATTTAATCATTCCTGTTAACTCGCCTCTATTTAAAACAAGGTTAAAAAAAGAAGAAAAATCCAGTCTGACGTTTCAAACTCTGTTTGGCAAATATACAAAAAACCAAATCCATTATTTAGAAAAAACCAAAAGGACTGCCGATGCTGTAAATCAGAAACAAAAACAGAAATTGCTGGAAAAGCTCAGCAGGTCTGGCAGCATCTGTAGAAAGAAATCAGAGTTAACGTTTCGGGTCAAGTAACCCTTCCTTAGATCTGAATTACTTTTCCAGCAATTTCTGTTTTTGTTTCCATTATTTAGAAAGTTTGCTTTTCCTGATCCCTATGGGGATGGGGTTAGGAGGCGAGCAGACTGGGATAATATCAGAGAGCACACCAAGGTGGCTTCCTGAAGCATTTCCACTGCCAGGGAGGTTTCCCAGACAAGGAACAAGATCAACTTGCTGTGATACAGAGCCAAGCAGCCAACTAGAATCCTATTTATGTAGTAATGTTTCAGTCTGATTTAACATTGTGCAGGCAGAGCAGCGACACCGTCCCCCACTTCAGCCTCCTCCCCACTCCCACCCAAACTCTCCACAGAAAGGGGATTACCAACTCAGTCAAGGAATGTTCTTGTAGCAGGGCAGAGCATGGAATGATCATCAGAGCTGGAAGCTCCATGCACCAAAATGGGTGCTGACAGCACATTCGGTTGTAATTGAGACCTGAACTAATACTCCATGTTAAAGCATCCTCACAATCCCTTAACTACCTCACCAGAGTGCTTACCTCTCCCAGTGACACTGCTAAAGCTGCTGAATTGCTGGCCCTTATATCTGACTGGGTGTTCGTAGTGAGATCTGTCTATCACCCTTAATAGGACAGTGAAGAGGGAAATACGTAATAAGGAGGTCACCTCCAGCAAGGCTACACTGACAGGCAGCCCATTTTCTCACTTCATTTCCTCTTCCAAATTATGAAGATAATGGGGGCAATTTAGACTTTGGACAATAGTGTAAAATGGATGAAATACAATCAGCTGGTCCACATACAAATCCCTGATTCTTGTTTAAACTACTGTCAACCAAACTAAAGATCAGAAGAAGTACATAATGGGCAGCTGATTTTCCATTTTACACCATCACATCTAATGTCATATTGCAGTCACGGACTGTTCATACAAGGGGCATCAATTTATGTCTGGTACAGTATCTAAGTGGCCATTATTCACGTGTGAGACTAATCAGTACTTCCAACAGTGACTACTGAATAATTGGCAACTCATCAAGTTTTCCCTTGATCAGGAACTTGGTAGTGAGCAGGGATTGATCTCTATCGTTTCTGGTCTGTAAAACTTCATTAACAAATTCAGTTTAAAACAATAGCAATCATTGTATCAACTCTGTGAAACATTGATATAGATGGCATTCAGAGTCATAACTATAGTATTGTAATGCAGAGTTTCTGAGAGATGACAATGGCTCTTCTACCATGAGGTAACTCAGTTAATTGCAAAAATATGCATTTAAAGCCAAATGAAACATAGATCAGGGTTCAAGTTACCTGTTTCATCAAAAACCCTTGTTTCACAATCTTGCCACTCAGCTCCATGTAAGGTATTTCAATCTTATCATTCAAACTTTCGGTCTTCTTCTCATTTTTTGCCTACAGCAAATACAAAATACAAGAGTTAAGGCTTTATAGCTTCTGGTCCAGAAGCTACCTTCCTCCCCAGACCACTAGCACCAGCACAACTCCCACACTTCTGTCAAGACTGGTAATAATTTAATCATAAATCATTCTTAGGCTATCAGCATCACTGATAAGGCCAGTATTTACTGCCCATCCCCAGTTATCCTTGAACCGATTGACTCTGAACTGTCCTCTGAAATGGACTAGCAAGTTAACCATGTTTCTGTAGTCAAAGATAGACTAAATTCATAAAGGATAGCAGATTGCCTCCCCTGAAGAACATTAGTGAACCAGATGTATTTTTTTCTGGTGATCTGGCAGTTTCATGATTGTCAACAATAATGAGACTAATATTTTATTCCAAATTTATTAAGTTTAAATTTCCACAGTCGATCATTGTGAGATTTAAACACACCCCAAAAGTACTAGCCTGGACCTCGAGGTCAGTTACATTACCGCAGTGCTATCTTCCAAAAAGTTTGTCAGAATAATGTACAGCTAAAAAACCCTAAGCAGCATCCAGCCCCATTCATGCAGCAGGTAATGTGAAGGAAAAAAATTCTATCATGTTGCTATTAGCAGTGTCTGGAGATTCCATACCAGATTATGGCATCCCTAATTTGGGTGGCCTCCTGGATGTACATTGGCAATATTGAAACTATATTCCAGAAACATCTTTAGAAGAGTAGGAAATGCATGGAGTCAAGAGGGAAAAAAACGCTATGCACTAGAGGAAACTTACAAAACAGTAAAGTGCAGTTGAATCATCGAGAAACTGCTCTGTGCCAGCAACATTCCAAACAGCTTTTGTACTTTTATTTCCGACTGGTTTAATGAGGTCGTCTTCAATTAGAAGGGATGCTAAAGTTACACCATCTGAACGGGAATTGACAACATGCCTGGACACCAGCCAGTCAATCACTGTAGAGCCTATGGAGAAAAAAATGAAGATATTAAGTCATTAGCCGAACAGTCATAATTAGAATCGAAATGTTAATTCTGCTTCTCTCTCCATAGATGCTGCCAGGTTTGCTGAGGTTTTCCAACATTTTTATTGTTTTCTTTTTCAGGTAAGCAGCCTGACTCACTGAGAATCAGTCTAGAGGTGGAGGAAACACATTCTACTCCACGAAGGTATAGTAAGAACTGCCGATGCTGGAGTCAGGGATAGCACAGTGTGGAGCTGGATGAACACAGCAGGCCAGGCAGCATCAGAGGAGCAGGAAAGCTGACGTTTCGGGTCTGGACCCTTCTTCAGAAAATGAAAAATTGGGACTGCTTTTGTTAGAATAGGGTAATTGGATGAAAGTGTTCAAAATTATGGATAAATGGGACAAAATAGATAATTGAGATTATTTCCAGCAATTAAGGGATCTGGAATAAAACAGCATCCTGAAAGCAGGATAACCTGGTGGACACAGTGTGTCAGTCTGTAAGAATCAGTTAGTGGCCAAAGAAGAGAACATTTAAGTATAAGTTCAGCAGATGACTGAAGGGTCAATAAATGGATAGGGGCCACAGTGGATATATGGGATTAAGTCAAGGTGACTCTGTTTAATCTTAATGTCATTCAAAAATGTTTTATGTGCTTGAATCAAAAGAAACCCTTTATTATTAAACTAAAGTAAATGAGTCCCACTAAAACTGAGTGACATTTGGTGGGTCTGCAAACCAATGTAAGTGGTCATGGAAATAGCTGCATGTCTTATCACGTTCTGGATGAAATATAAGCATTGGGAAGAAACAGTGATATAGGCAGAGGGGAATGAACCAAGGCACCTGTCCTTGATAGCTGACCAAGTCACTGTAACTGGAAGATGTACCAGAGGGGAGGTCAGGTGAGGGGAGTATATGGATTTACTGTGATGCTCACCAAAGTCAAACAGCTTGTTAGTACTTATTGTTAAAAGTACATATATGAATGGTCATTTGTGCATGGTGGAGGAGAACTGTCTACAGCTGCATCTTCAGATGGGTAGGGAAGAAAATTGGACAGAGAAAATTGCAAAATAAAACTTGAATCTTCTCCAAGATTCCTCATTGCCTTGCTTACCTGTGAAACACAGTTTGTAGGTATGCCCATATTCGCCATTTGTCATCTCTTTGATCCCACTGTTGGATTCTTGCATGTCAATAATTAAGTGACTACAAATTAAGAAGATGGTATTATTTATTTTGTATAGTTATTCGTTCTCAGATGTGAAACCCTGCTGGAGACATATTTATTGCCCATTCCTAATTTGAATTGCTGAAAGTAGCTTTAATACAACTGAGACTCCGATTGGCCACTTCACAGACCAATTAAGAGTCAACAATATTAATATGTGTTTGCAGTCACAAATAGACCAGACCAAATAAGTATTGCAGACTTCCTTTCCTGAAGGAAATTAGTAAGCATCACCAAATGCCGATTTAGATTTCTAGACGGTCTTTTCAAATCTAAATTCAAAATTCTCACATGTCCTCTGTGGGATTTGAGCTAATTCTCTCAATTACTAGTCCAGTAATACAACACCTTATGCTTCTGTACTGAAAATCACAAGTTAATGACACTTAAGATTAATTTTAATAATTGCAATATTAATTTTGGACCCCCGGTTTTGTGATTGAAGCCAATATTTGAAAAACATTATTAATATTATATTTATTAGGCAGCATCAGAAGCACTATGCAATTTGACATATTTGTTTCCTCATTACTGAATATAAGGTGAAGGAACATTATAATTCTTAAACATAAAAGTATTTGATACATTAAGCAAAGAGACTTTCAGGTTGATTCTGCTGCCACTGATGCACATTAAATGACACTTCTGTAGTTGTTACAATTGTAAATATATCATATCAAGGATGTACAATTACAGTACTTACAGACCTTCTCCACAAGTCACTTACAAAGATGCATATTTTTCAAAATTGAATCAGTGAGGTGTCCTATAACTTTGATGGCAGATTTTTGATGGCTGTGACTGTATCCATTCAAATACTTGACAAAGGCAAAGGGCTTGATCCCTGAACTACACATAGTTAGATCATCTCAGCTACGATGGGATTGGGATTGTACGAACTGTTGGTGATGATCTGGAATGCACTGCCTGAAAGGATGATGGAATCAGGTTCAATAATAAATTTCTAAGGCAAACATGATCAATACACTTGGAAAGGGTAAGTTGGCTGATGGAGAACAGATGTGAGGTCTTTCAAAGAGCTGGCACAGGCATGATGGGCTGATTGGCTTCCTTCTGTAAGATTCTATGGTTCTGCAAATCTATTACATTGATCCCAGCTGGAATGCATTTATAGATATTGGGTGAAGATAGAATCAAGCTTGCCCATTATTTGCCATGTAATTAATCTGGAAATCATTGTACAGGGAGATGGTGGTGTGGTGGCAAAGCCAAAGGCCAAGTGTAATGCAGTGGGGACATAGTTCAAATCTCACTTTGGTAGCTGATTAACTTCAATGAATAAATCTAGAATAACAGTGGACCATGGTTCTACCATTTAATAGGGTCATGGCTGATCTGATTGGAACCTCAACTCCACATTTCCACTTCCTGCTAATATTCTTTCAGCTCTTTGCTTACCAAGAATCTAACTACCTCTGCCTTAAAACTATTGAAAGAATCAGCTTCCAGCACCTTTGTAGGAAGACAGTTTCAAAAGACTCACAACCCTTAGAGAGAAAAAGAAATTACCTCATCTCTGTTTACAGGACAACATCTTATTTTTGTCAATGGCTGGTTCAAGATTCTCCGAAAATTGGAAATGTACTCTCAAGTCAATCCTTCAAGATCCCTCAATATCATATATGCTTTAAATAAAAATAGAATGATAATCTCGATAATGGTGACCCTAACAATAACCATAATTGTTACAAAAACTCATTTAGTTCCCTAATGTCCTTTAGGAAAGGAAATCTGAATCTGGCCTACATGTGTCTGTAGATCCACAGATATGTGGCTGACTCCTAACGTCCCTCAGAAATAATGACTCAGCAATTATGGATGGGCAACAAACATTGGCCTTGCCTGTGATGCCCATATCCCACCAATGAATAAAGATGACTTTCACAAATAGAATGGCCATTTGGCTGGATTACATTGTCACTCAGCCCATGTAGAACTATCGTCTAGAATAAGACAGCAATTTATGAATGGGAAGGAGAAAATGTTGAGGTGAGGAAAACAAGATATACTGAAAGTTGTGAAACAGAGGAATGATGTTTACCTGAGGCAAATGTTTGCTGGTAGTTCAAAGGCCATGTTTGAATCATTCAATTGCTCTTGACCCTCTGGATTTGAAGCTCTGATCATTTTTTGAATGTCCGCAGCCCAAGAATCTCGCTGCTCACGGGAAGAAGCTTCGAGGAAATGCTCAACAGAATTCTTTGCCTTCAATTTAATCACCAGCTGGAATATAGGTGAATATTCTTTCAGACTTGGTTTCAAAATTCTTGTGATCAGTGACAAAATTTTCCAGCAACTGACACTAGGCACCTTCCTTTGACATTCAACTGCAATACCATCACTGAATTCCCCATCATCAACATCCTGGAGACTTACCAGAAAGCAAAAATGAAACTGGACCAGGAATATAAATTCAGTAACTACAAGAATGGGTCAGAGGCAAGTATTATGTAGTAAGTGACTCACCTCCTGACCTCCCAATGCCTTTCCACAAAACACAAGGCAGCAGTGTTGTGGAATACTCTCCACTTGCTTGGATGAATGCAGATCCAACACTCGAGGTTCAACAGCATCAAGGACAAAGCAGCCCCCTCAAATCAATAGCAACTACCACCAATACAGTGAGAAGCAGCAAGCACAAGATGCACTGCAGCAACTTGCCTTGGCTTCTTCAACAAACTTTCCCAAACCCATGACTTTTAGCTTCTTCTAGCAGGAACATGGAAATACCACTAGCTCCAATATCTCAAGTCACACACCATTCTGACTTAAAAATATGTGCTGGTACTTCACCGTCATTGATTCTTGGAACTCCATCTCTCATAGCATTGTGTAAATGTGCCTACATTGCAGAGATTGCAGAAGGCAGCTCACCACCATCTATTCAATGTCTTGCGAAAAACTCCCACAACTCACAATTAAATAATACCGACAGTGTAACACGATTGCGCACTTTGCATTCTTTCAAATATAGCTTTGAGGGAACGTAGATCTGTTAAGGGCCCAAATGCATCATATCATGTAAAACAATGCTTTTGGAATCAAGCAGTTCTTGTCTATGCTGTTAAATAATCTCATCCTGGAAGGTGGTCTCAGTTTGCACTGCTTGAATTCTTAGTCCCTCTGTTGTAAGAAATAACTGACTCATAATCTGATCAATTTAAAAAGAAAAATAAACAATGTTTAAGCTCTTTGACTAGCTTAACAGAGAAATCACATCCAGACAAAATTGTGACAATTAAACAGGATGACAACTCAGTTGAAGTGATAATGGAGATGCAATAATGGCGTGGTCCTGGGAGCAATGGGGAAAGGAAAGTCAGCCAGGGATTGTAAGTTTGTAGAAGAATGAAGGAACTATCAGCAAGGAATGTGTAATTGCGATTTTATATCCAATTGTAAAATTGCACAGTTGAAAGAAACAAAGTTTTAGACAAAAGCATGATTCGTAGTTCTTACCGGCCTGTTTTTATAATCCATACAGGGACAGTGGAGAGTACATCCTTCCAGAGAAATAATGCGTCTGGGACGAGACTCCTTCTTTCCTCCTTCTATTTTATAGTAGAGAAGCTGGTCCTTGGACAGTACAAACCATCTCACCTTCCAGTTATGAACAATGTGCCCCTGCAAAGTAAAGCTTATCTTATACCTTCTTGCAAGCAAACCCTAAACTGCAGAAACATCACACTGGAACAATACACATTAAAACTTTTTTTCACAAGAAAATGTATCTATCCACTTCAGCACTGAATTTTCATAACTTGGGCAACAAGAGCATTCTTTATAGTGTAATGTTCACTGTTATACAAAATAAACTAGTGGAAAAGAAGCTTCATCTCCAAGCAGGCTGCACTGTTTGAATTTTATAAATTCTTAATCTCTCTGCTGTAAGATTCATAATCAACCAATTGAACAGAAAAATAAATAATGTTTAGCTGTTTGACTAGCTTAACAGAGAATTTAAATCCAGACCAAATTATGACAATTAAATAGGATGACAACCATCTACGAGACAGGTTTTTCACAATGCATCCATACAATTAAATTACTTGCTTTGGGTGCACACCTATGAAGGTATGTGAGCATTTAATTAGCTATAATCCACAAAAGACTTTCAGCATCTCTCCCCTGTATAGAGAGAGAGAGAGAGAGTAATTATTATGTTTAGCTGGAGGGGCACCAGTGTAGGACAAGGTGAAGAGGCAGGGCTCCATGAACAAAACAGGCAGTAAGAGGATTGACAGTTGCAATCATTCTGACTTTTACTCTAGCTAGCCTGCACATGTATCACAACAAACTTGAAATCCTGATTAATTCATACTGAAATGTTTATTGCAAAAATCACGTTGGATTTGATAGCATCAGTTATGACAATACAGAGAAGAAATATCAACGATAACCTCCAAGCAGCAAAAAATGACCGACAAACAAGCAAATACCACTCTCAATATATTTTTTTCAAGTATTCTTTGGTTGCTAGCTTCCTTTCGCACTAACACAAGCCTATGGTGCAATGAACTGTTATTTTTAAGACAACAGGCTGAATTGGTACACCAAGCAAACACATTGAGGGAAAAAAAACAGACTTACAAGTTGCCTCTGATGTTTTACTCCACATGCCTAATGATATGGTATTGAGGCATTCACATCAAAAAGGTTCCACATCTCATGGTTAATTCATTTCTGCAGCTGAGATTATAATAGGCTTGCTCACCAGCACCAATGGTCAGGGGTGAAAAAAGAATCAAAACTGGTCAAGTATATTTCCAGTCCAGATCCATTGTCTCAGTTGGACATCTTTGGATATTAGGAAAAGACAATATCTGGTCTTTTAGCTATGATTCCTTCTGCAACTGACTATTCCCCTCACACTCACTGTCTTGTGGGTAAAGGCCATTGGAGCAAGATGTCTTCTCATATTCCTGGGACTGTCCTCCAGGTCACTCAGTAGGGAGAATGATTTAATTACTGAATGGAAAAGCACAAAAGGAGGCCATGAGATAACAAAGAAAACATCCTAACACTGTGTCACCATGCTTCAATTCTGCTTTACAGAATGGTACCAGCAACTGCATGAAAGTCTGCAGTCTCTACCGCCTGAACAAAGGAGGCTAAACAGCTTGCCAGAAAAAGATGGAGATAAAGAGATGGTTTACAAACCTCAGCTGCATCCTGTGATTTAATAGCATGGCTGTTCAAGAAGAAATAATCTTGGTGCCCTCAGTGCTACATCTTGGAAATAGCAACAAGGTACAATCGTCTCTCATCTCCGAGAAAGGTAGCATAAAGTAGTACTGATTAATGAATGGGGGCAGAAAAACTAGTGGAGGAGTGTTTCAATTCCTAACCTGCAAATACTCAAGTGTGTACGTTTGAGTCCAAGGGAAAAAACAGTTTGGGGAGAAACAAATTTAAAGAAACCAAAGGAGCAGCTAATGCAGTGAGTTTAACAGAGAACAAGGAGTATCCGAAAGTATTTCTGTGCGAAATTTAGGCTTCATTGTTACATGACAGAATTTTACAGACTTTTATGGTACACTGAAAACATTTTCAAATTTTCACAGCACTAATTACTGATTAAAAGCAATCATGATTTCCATCGATTCACTTTTAAGGTCTTTATAAATATCAAGCAGTACTGGTACAGGAATGACTAAACCTGGTCAAATGAGAGATAATGAATAAGGTTCTCTTACCCTTTTGACCAAAAATCCCTCCCTTGATATAGCTGTTTCTCGCTGCATGTCAACTGCTAAATATCCAGGCTCCCTCTGTGCTCAACACCAAATTGCACAGCTTTAAATATCTCAGGAAATGCCTCACCGAGACATGCATATGAGTCACCCACCCTCTCCACATCTTGGGTGCAGTCTGTATGACTAATTCTGAGTAATGTTTGCCTGCATGCAGGATACTTCAGGTATAGGATTTAACCAGCAGGTGCTATGAACAAAACATTCCCTTTATGGCTGGTAAGAAAACCAGAAGGGCACAATAGTCTTTCACAGGGAACAGTGAGATGCTGTGACTTCCAGGGCTTTTTTTTGCAAGGACAATCCAACTAGACACTTCATCAAGAAATTTATGCGGACTTTGTTTTTGTTTGTGCAGGCAAGAGCCAGATGATTTGGTCATTTCTTGCAGCATATACAAGTGACAAGGTGACATATTTCAATGTAATTTCTATATTTGAAAAGAAACAACACAAGGTTTGAGACCGTACTTGCATTTATATAGCACCTTTCATAAGGGACAGAATAAATTGTCTCCTGATGTCTTCTCACTATTCTTTCAAAGAAAAGTTTGGCATTCATGGTCTAACCTATGTTGATGAGATCATTAACCAGTAGGTGTCTTGCTGAAATCTACAGCTCCCTTTTTCCTATGTCACCATTCCTGTTCTATCCAACAACACAGTCTGTAATTTTACAGCAAATGTATTGTTCCAAACTCACAGAGAACAGGTTAGAGATGGCATAACAGTATTCCAGGCCAGAATGCCTGATTTACACTCACACAATAGATTGAACCTGGGGGGTTAGTAAAAATTGGAGAGATGGAGTACTGTCAGATTGGATGGGTCAAAAGTGGGGTGTGGATGAAGATTGGACGGTTATGTTTACCGCTCATGGTGCTGACAAAATCACAAGGAGCATCCTGTGGCATCCATCCATCCTCATCGTCCTCTACCTGTCTGCAACTTTTGACACATTTGATACTACCAACATTCTCCAACGTCACTCCATCTTCATCCAGCTGTAGCCTCACCTGATTCCATTCTTATCTATCACTTGCAATATGGGTTCACTCGCCACTCCTATATTCCTACCTCTGGTATGCCCCTCCTACTGATTGTGTAGCCCTCAGTGATGTTATCCAAAAGACAGAGTGTCAGTTTTCACAACGACACTGGTGAATTCCAATTATAATTCACCATAGCCTCTTTTGAACACTCCCACCAAGACCTTCTAAGCCAATGGCACACACAAATTGACCCATGTAAATAAAAAGGGGTGTGCAGCTGTCCAAAAAAAAAAAGAAAGAACATAAGAACATAAGAACTAGGAGCAGGAGTAGGCCGTCTGGCCCTTCGAGCCTGCTCCGCCATTCAATAAGATCATGGCTGATCTTTTCATGGACTCAGATCCACTTACCCGTGTTCTCACCGTATCCCTTAATTCCTTTATTGTTCAAAAAAAATCTACCTTTTTTTTAAAAACGTTTACTGAAGTAGCGTCAACTACTTCACTGGGCAAGGAATTCCATAGATTAACAACCCTCTGAGTGAAGAAATTCCTTCTCAATTCAGTCCTAAATCTGCTCCCTCTAATCTTGAGGCTATGCCCTCTTGTCCTAGCTTCACCTGCCAGTGGAAACATCCTCTCTACTTCTATCTTATCTATTCCCTTCATAATTTTATATGTTTCTATAAGATCTTCTGAATTCCAATGAATATAATCCCAATCTACTCAGTCTCTCCTCATACGCCAAACCCCTCAACTCCGGAATCAACCTAGTGAACCTCCTTTGCACCCCCTCCAGTGCCAATACATCCTTTCTCAAGTAAGGAGACCAAAACTGCCCACAGTACTCCAGGTGTGACATCACCAGCACCTTGTACAGCTGCAACATAACCTCTCTGCTTTTTATTTCAATCCCTTTAGCAATGAAGGACAAAATTCCATTTGCCTTCCTAATTACTTGTTGTACCTGCAGACCTACCTTCTGTGATTCATGCACAAGGACACCCAGGTCCCTCTGCATAGTAGCATGCTGCAACTTTTTACCATTCAAGTAATAATCCTTTTTACTATTACTCCTACCAAAATGTATGACTTCACATTTATTTACATTGTATTCCATCTGCCAGACCTTTGCCCACTCACTCAATGTATCTATGTTCCTCTGCAAAGTTTCATAGTCCTCTGCACACTTTGCTCTGCCACTCATCTTAGTGTCATCTGCAAACTTTGACACCCTACACGTCGTCCCCAACTCCAAATCATCTATATAAATTGTAAATTATTGCGGTCCCAACACCAATCCCTGAGGCACACCACTAGTCATTGACTGCCAGCTAGAATAGCACTCATTTATCCCCACTCTTTGCTTCCTGTTAGTCAACCAATCCTCTATCCATGCTAATACTTTACCCTTAATGCCATGCATCCTTATCTTATGCAGTAGCCTCTTGTGCGGCGCCTTGTCAAAGGCCTTTTGGAAATCTAGGTACACCACATCCACTGGGTCCCCATTGTCCACCTCGCTCGTAATGTCTTCATAGAATTCCAAAAGATTTGTCAAGCATGACCTGCCCTTCATGAACCCATGCTGCATCTGTCTAACGGGACAATTTCTATCAAGATGCTATTTCTTCCTTGATAATAGACTCAAGCATCTTCCCCACTACAGAGGTTAAGCTAACCGGTCTATAATTCCCCATCTTTTGTCTACTTCCCTTTTTAAACAGTGGCGTCACATTTGCTGTTTTCCAATCTGCTGGGACTGCCCCAGAGTCCAGCGAATTTTGGAAAATTACCGCCAGTGCACCTGCTATTTCTCCCGCCATCTCTTTTAGTACCCTGGGATGCATTCCATCAGGGCCAGGAGACTTATCAATCCTTAGCTCCATTAGCTTGCCCAACACTACCTCTTCCGTAATAATGATTGTTTCCAGGTCCTCACCTACCTTCGTCTCTTTGTCAATTACTGGCATGTTATTAGTGTCCTCCACTGTGAAGACCGATACAAAATACCTGTTCAATGCCTCGGCCATTTCATCATATCCCATAACTAAATTCCCCTTCTTATGCTCTAAAGGGCCAACGTTTACTTTAGCCACTCTTTTTCGTTTTATATATTTACAGAAACTTTTGCTATCTGTCTTTATATTCTGTGCTAGTTTTTTCTCATGTTCTATCTTACTTTTCTTTATAGCTCTTTCTGTTGACCTTTAAAGTTTTCCCAATCTTCTAGTTTCATACTGTTTTTGGCCACTTTGTATGCCTTCTCTTTCAATTTGATAGCCTCCGTTATTTCTTTAGACACCCATGGCAGATTACCCCTTTTCTTACAGTCCTTCCTTTTCATTGGAATATACTTTTGCTGAGCACTTTGAAAAATTGCTTTGAAAGTCCTCCACTGCTCGTCAACTGTCTCACCATAAAATCTTTGTTTCCAGTCTACTTTAGCCAAGTCCTCCCTCATTCTATTGTAGTTCCCCTTGTTCAAGTACAGGACCCTGGTATTGGATTTTATCTTTACACTCTCCATCTGTATTCTAAATTCAACCATACTGTGATCACTCCTTCCAAGAGCATCCCTAACTATGAGGTCATTAATTATTCCTGTCTCATTACACAGGAACAGATCTAGGATAGCTTGCTCCCTCGTTGGTTCCATTACATACTGTTCAAGAAAACTATCACGGATACACTCAACGAACTCCTCCTCAAGGCTACCCTGACCGAGCTGGTTCGACCAATCTACATGTAGGTTAAAATCTCCCATGATAATTGCCGTACCATTTTTACAGGCATTAGTTATTTCTTTGTTTATTGCCCGCCCCAATGTGATGTTATTATTTGGTGGCCTATAGACGATGCCTATCAGTGACGTTTTCTTCTTAGAATTTCTAATTTCCACCCAAATGGATTCAACCTCATTCTCCATAGAACCTATATCATCTCTCAGCACCGCCCTGATGGCGTCCTTGAATATCAGAGCTACACCACCTCCCTTACCTTCCTGTCTGTCCTTCCGAATAGTCTGGTACCCTTGGATATTTAACTCCCAGTTGTGACCATCCTGTAACCATGTCTCCCTAATGGCTACCAAATCATATTCATTCGCGATGATTTGTGCCGTTAACTCATCAACCTTGTTACGAATGCTACGAGCATTCAGGTAAAGTCCCTTTATGCCAGCTTTCTTACCCTCATGATTTCCAACATCTCTAATAATATCTCCTGAGTTATCCTTCCTTTTTGCTTCTTTCATAGTCTGCCTTGAACTTAAACCCTCCTGCACACATGCTAACCTTTTTATTTACCATCATACTCCCTGTCATTTTCCCTTTCCCTTCCCCCCAACTCACTAGTTTAAAGTCCTAGTGACCACCCTATTTATCCTTTTCGCAAGAACACTGGTTCCAGATCAGTTCAGGTGGAGACCGTCCCATTGGTACAGATCCCTCCGGTTCCAAAACTGATACCAATGCCCCATGAAATGGAACCCCTCTTTCCCACACCACTCCCTTAGCCATGTGTTTACTTCCCTAATTTTCTTATCCCTAAGCCAATTTGCACGTGGCTCGGGCAGTAATCCGGAGATTATGACCCTCGAGGACCTGTTCCTTAATTTCGCTCCTAGTGCTTGATAATCCTCAAACAGGTCCTCCATCCTAGCCTTGCCTATGTTGTTAGTCCCAACGTGGACCACAACAACTGGATCCTCTCCCTCCCGCTCCAATATCCTTTCAAGCCGGTCAGAGATGTCCCGCACCCTGGCACTGGGCAGGCAACACACCATGCGGGACTCCCGATCCAGCTTGCAAAGGATACTATCTATCCCCCTAACTATAGAATCCCCTATAACTACCACTTGTCTTTTTGCTCCCCCCTCTTGAATAGCCTTCTGCACCATGGTGCCGCGGTGAGCTGGGTCATCCTCCCCGCAGCCCTTTTCCTCATCCACAGGGAGCAAGTATCTCGTACCTGTTGGATAAGGTCAAAAGCTGAGGCTCCTCCACTCCTGAACTCAGGATCCCCCTACCTGCCTCACTTGCAGTCACACCCTGTTGTC